TCGATGCTCATGATATTAATCACTAGATTGTCTGGTCCAGACTCGATTATTTACAGACCGCCGTGATATAGGTGGAATATTGCTGAGTGCGGCGTTAAACAACAAACAAACAAAACAAACAAAACTTGGTTGTCATTAGTTTTACTATAACAATTATGATAATAAATTGCAAGAGCGTGACCTCGAACATGCTGCTCAATATACACAACATTATTACCCCTGCTCTTGAATCTCTTCTCAGCTTGAGACCGCCTCCGTGGTCTTGTGGTAGAGCGTCGCCCGGAGAGCGGAAGGTCCAGGGTTCGATCCCGGGCCGCGTCATACAAAAAGACGTTAAAAGATTGTACTTGTTGTTACCCTGTCTGGCGCTCGGCATTAAGGGGCTAAAGCAAGGACTGGTCGGCTCGGAGTCAGTATACTGTGTCTGAGTGGGGTATTCATGTTAAACTGCGGCATGGTATCTCAGTGAGCTAGCACTATAAATCGGCATCAGTCCGAACTAGTACAAGCAGCCACACACACACATACACGTGCATGCACGTCGCTATATAAGTGCAATAATCTTGGACGCGACGTTAAACCCAATTTCACCTCACCTCACCTCTTCTCAGCTTGATTGGGAGTATACAAACCAAACGTTTGAATGAGGGTCTAGAAGGTTTACAGTCACATTATGATATCAATCTCATTAAAATCAGATCTTAGTTCTCTCTCCCGCTAAACAAAGATCTGAGGACATCCAATTAGGGGTCACGTCAGAACGACCTTTCATTCGACCAATCAGAGCGTCGCTTACCAGATCATGAAAGTGACAGTCAGAATGTGATTTCTCATCATACCGCCTCGAAAATTTTAAAACAGGGTATTCCGAACGATAGTTTTGGGCTTAACATCTGAATCTATACAATCTAGACCATATATTAGCCATTCGAGAATGTTCTTTTGTTCAGGTTTAAAAAGAATTTAAGAGAGAATTTGTCAAAATATGTTTCGAAGCGTAGTCGCCAATTTGAAATTAGTGCCGTAAAGCACGAGAAAGCTGCCTTCTGACTGGCTAATTTCAACTTCTTGTCAGTAATTCCATTGGACGGTCAGAGTTTGCGAAAGGTCGTTCTGAAGTGACCCGTAATGGGATGTCCTCAGATCTTTCTTTTGCGGCAGCGGGAACTATGAAAGATCTGATTTTAATGAGATTGATTATGATATCCTACTGGGTACCCCTTGACAGCAGTAAACAGAGGCATATTTCAAACAAAGTTACTTACCTAACAACAATTCATGAAACCTCAATCTGTTGCTAGGTGAATAGTATCATGGATTCAGGAGATATTTTGTCTAGTTTGGGCAATATGCATCCAGCCCGCTCTCGCTGCTCAAGCTCTGTCTGCGAGGTGTTAGTTCAACTCAGCCATGGCTCTCTGATATTGGAGACGCCCACTAAGCCCCCTAAGTGGAGATTATAGAGATTCTGCCACACAAGGTTCTGGAGTGCTGGAGACTTCATCTGTAATCTCCAGACGGAAGACATTCTTCGTCTTTTGGCTGCCTACTGGTCATGAGACTCGCAGCATTTTTCATTCGCAGTAAATCTTACTTAAGTGTTAAGTCTTGGAAGTTCTGTCTGAAGTGTCCATGCAGGGATGGGTTTTTTTCTCACTGATGTTTGCCAAATGTTGAATTTAAGACAAAACAATTGGTGTTCATATGGTTCAGAAATCTGATTCTATGTCGTTTGGGACATCCTCTTAACAACTAAGTTTATGATCTGATATTCGACATGGCTGCCAGGTAGCGATATTGTAAATGTCCATTACCATTTGTCTATGACCATTTGTCTGACACAGCTTCATGTATCATTGTGCAATTTGATATTCAGTATGTGGCATAGGATTCTGACATTTAGCACAAACAGGACCTTTATGTACTCGACATGGGAACTGTGTTAACATGGTACTTTTGGCTGACTACACAACCGACTGATCATGAATAAAGATGAATAAGTTTTGAGGTATTATCATTGTGCCCAAAACTCTTCTCATCTTTATCATTCTCATTTCAAATATCTGTAACCATGGTAACATGACCTATGATTTTCCGAAAAATGCATCAGGGGAACCTACAGTATCTAAATCAGTCCACATGAAAAATATAATTTTGTCATGATTTTTTCCTCCGATTTTAATATGCATGAGGACCAATCTATTTCTTAAACCCCCAAACATTAGATGTGTTTCTGTTGTCCCGGAAACAAACCTTCCCTCTGAATGAGAACATACAGTAACCATGGTAACAAGATGAGACAAAGTTGGCGTCATGGCTGGCCTGTTTCTGGCGTCCCACTCATCAACAGATCTACTTGTACAGGGACATATGCCAAAAATGGTTCTTAGTGCAAAGACATTATAACTTCCCTAACATCTTAGCGTGTGCGTTATAAGGATCTGTTCATAAGATAGGTTGGTTGGTTGGTTTGTTGTTTAACGCTGCACTCAGCAATATTACAGCTATATGACAGCAGTCTGTAAATAATCGAGTCTGGACCAGACAATCCAGTGATTGACATCATGAGCATCGATCCACGTAATTGGGATCGATCACATGCATCAACCAAGTCAGCGAGCCTGACCACCTGATCCTGTTAGTCGCCTTTTACGGCAAGCATGGGTTGCTGAAGACCTATTCTACCCCGGAATCTTCACGGGTCCTGTTCATATGCAATAAGAAACTTGTCCCAGTGTGATGGTCCTATTGTGTTATTCATGTGTGATTAGATTCCTAGCTGCTTGCATCAGTGTACATACCAGTCGCTGACAGTTTGCTTGAAGTCTATGACTAGATTCTGGTGCAGAGACAGGGCATTGATCTGACTGGGAACACCGGTATCGATTATCTGCTCTCAGTTTGTATGTGGTGTTAGTCTGTGTGTTCGAAAAGACTGTGGGTGCTTTAATGGACTTGATGTACATGGAGTGAATGAATGTTGTGTCTTGCCACATGTTTACGCCAGTATTAAAAGTATATTTGTCTTCCTCCATGGTCTTGTGGAATGAGTGTCTGCCTGGAGAGCGGAAGGTCGGTCAGGTTCGATCTCTGGCCGCGTCATACTTGAAGACGTTAAAAAAAGGTACTTGTACATCTAGACACACACACGCGCATAGACACACACACACACACACACACACACACACACACACACGCGCGCGCGCGTGCACACACACACACACACACACACACACACACACACACACACACACACACACACACCACACACCACACACCACACACACACACACACCACACACACACCACACACCACACCACACACACACACACACACACACACACACACACACACACACACAAACATACAGTACTTTTATTTTATAAGATGAGATCCTTTTCATCTTCATCTTGCAGGTAAATCACAACCCAGAGTCGTATTCAGAGTTCAAGGATAAGATATTGTAGGACAGAAACATATGAGCGAGAGGGCACTGTAAATATTATGCTATTACTAATGGTGGATGTCACGATCTACACAAATTGTGCTCTATGGCGATCCAGTCTATTTTGTGTCTTTTCAAATCAAGCCCTGCTTGTTTACACGTCAGAACAGCTTCCTGCTCCGTAGATCATCAGTTACAGGATTGAGATCAAGTATTGTAGCAATGCCATTCATTGAAGTCATCACAAAGTGATATTCAATCAAACACCATTTTCTGTTCATATTGACGAGTGTTAGTTGAAACCCTAAACACATTGCTTGCTTTACTGTCTGGAGGACACATACCGACCGGTCTTGACTCAGACTTGGCTCATGAGATGAATTAGATTACAGACTCCTGAAAACTCTGGACAAGAGGGTTGAATCATGGACGTCCACGGATGGAGTCTGGAGCCAGTGGGGATGAAACAGTTGATAACAAGCCGAGAGTGGTTATGTGAATTGGGCGGGAACATATAGAGGTTATTTATTAAATGGGTGGGAATAATTAGATGTTATTCATGAATTGGGTGGGAACATATAGATGTTATTTGTTAATTGGGCGGGAATTATTAGATGTTATTCATGAATTGGGCAGGAATCATTAGATGTTATTCATGAATTGGGTCGGAATAATTAGATGTTATTTATGTGGGTGGGAACATATAGATGTTATTTATTAATTAGGTGGGAATAATAAGATGTAATTTGTTAATTGGGCGGGAATAATTGGATGTTATTCATGAATTGGGCAGGAATAATAAGATGTTATTTGTTAATTGGGTGGGAATAATTAGATGTTATTCATGAATTGGGCAGGAATTATTAGATGTTATTCATGAATTGGGCAGGAATTATTAGATGTTGTTCATGAATTTGGCAGGAATAATTAGATGTTATTCATGGATCGGGCAGGAATTATTAGATGTTATTAATGAATTGGGCAGGAATAATAAGATGTTATTCATGAATTGGGCTGGAATAATTAGATGTTATTCATGAATTGGGCAGGAATAGTTAGATGTTATTCATGAATTGGGCAGGAATTATTAGATGTTATTAATGAATTGGGCAGGAATAGTTAGATGTTATTCATGAATTGGGCAGGAATAGTTAGATGTTATTCATGAATTGGGCAGGAATCATTAGATGTTATTAATGAATTGGGCAGGAATAATTAGATGTTCATGAATTGGGCAGGAATTATTAGATGTTATTCATGAATTGGGCAGGAATCATTAGATGTTATTCATGAATTGGGCAGGAATAATTAGATATTATTTATGTGGGTGGGAACATATAGATGTTATTTATTAATTAGGTGGGAATAATAAGATGTAATTTGTTAATTGGGCGGGAATAATTGGATGTTATTCATGAATTGGGCAGGAATAATAAGATGTTATTTGTTAATTGGGTGGGAATAATTAGATGTTATATAAGGACATGGCTCCATTATGACAGGCTCCGCCATCATGCATGATAGCGGAGCTTCAAATTAAGACAAGAGATATTATTGGATGAAATGGTCGCGGATGTGGAGGTACTGGTGGACTACGGCAATGAGCTTAACACCTGTTAAGCAACCCCAACTGCAGCAACCGCTGCCCTGCAACAACCGTTGCCAAGCAACCCATGTTGCTTACCGATGCAGCATCCGCTGTCCCGCAACTACCGTTGCCAAGCAACCCATGTTGCTTACCAATGCAGCGCCTGCTGCCCTGCAACTACCGTTGCCAAGCAACCCATGTTGCTTACCAATGCAGCGCCCGCTGCCCTGCAACTACCGTTGCCAAGCAACCCATGTTGCTATGCAGCTATCGCTGCCAGGCAAGTACCATTGCCAAACCATGAGCGAGGGCAACTATTGTTGCCAAGCTGACCATCCGCTGTAAAGCGGACACTAAGCCATCTGCTGTAAAGCAGAATGGATAAATTGGTTCCTGCTGTAAAGCGGGTAACCCTATCCTAAATAATTTATAATTTGGGATGTATCCCAAGACGCCAAATGTAACTTGTAATGCAGTCCACCAGCACCCCGCCACAAGCACCAAGGTGCTTCCCCACAACCACGACCATTCGCGCTCATGTACACCCACCGTGTTATCCTATACTGAAATTGTTTCCTACAAGCATACTGCGGAAAGGGAGCTGCCAATGTTTTGTGTGAAAAGATCAAGTCCGGCCGGTGACAAATGAACCCCGTCACGCAGGTACAGTTGCTGCTCCTGCCGGTTGAACACTGTGTGGGGAACCCGTATCCCCCCAAGCTCACGGGCCCTGTTCCCCACTCGTCTGTTCAGCTTCTGCCTGGCCCCGTCCAGGTCCCGGGCACGGCTGGCTACATGCCAGTACCTCCGTGGCAGCATGTCTGACCACAGAATGACAGCACCAGGTAGGAGGAGGTGTATCCTCAGGAGTGCCAGCTTGATCTCATGATATAGCTGACACGTGGTTACCTTACCCAGGTCGTTCGAACCAAGGTGAATCACCACCGCCTTTGGTGGTGTCTGCATTGCTTTGACCTGGGCATCTATCAGCTCGGTCAGCTCCTCCCACCTCATGCCGCCCCTTGCCAACCAGAGACATCCCCCTGGAATACCGAAGTCACTGTCCTGTAGGTGCTCTCTCGCCCGGGTCAGGAAGCTGGACCCAATCAACCATACTGAAAACATGAATCAATAGGAAGAAAACTGTTCTTGCATGGTTGGCGATTTAAATGTTTGCAGGTATGCGTATATAGCTTTTATAACATTCTGACCCCCACCTACCAAAGTGCTGTATCAAATCTGAACTCACTCCGTTACCGGCTGCTGTCGTTGCTGCGCCAATCCTGAAGGAATGCGAAGAGTATGCTGCTGTGCAGATGCCGCTATGCGCCAGTGCTCTTTTTAGCACGGCCTGAAACTGATACCTGGTCAGGGGAGATTTATCAAAGTGTACGAAAGCTTGAGTCTGACCCTGTGATCGAACTGTTAGGTATGCTTTAACTGCAGCCACTGGACACAGATTGTGGCCAGGTATGGCGGAAATGGAAACAACTATGCCATGTGAGTGCCTGTCCGTTTTTGAATGCCTTAGAGCGACTGTTACTGTCTTAGTCGTGTCTTGGACTTCTAGGTCCAAGAAAGCGCACCCTGGCTGAGAAAGTTTGGTTTGCACGAGTTCACTCACCCGAAAGAAACCAAAGAAGGCCAAGCAATATACTGCTTTGAACAATCTTACTTCATAGGTAGAAGAGCAGACAAATTGTAGGTTGTTTACAATTACTTTGAGCAGGTCTATTGTTATTGGTTTTCTGTGATCCTGCCTCCCCTGACACTTTTGCATCCCCGTAATCATTTTAGTAATAACAAAGTGGCCGGTGCGGTCTTCCATGCTGTGTAGCCTATGGTACGTTGAGATACCGGCCATATACGTTCTTACCGTACTCGGTGCATGTCCTGACACTGACAGGTGAGCAATGAAATGTACCAGATGAGTTATTGGAACCGGCCAGACATCTCCCAGGTTTTGTGATGCCCTGAATGCTTGCAACGCTTGGGTTCCTGCCTGGTAAGTTGCCCACGTGTTTGCCGCCAATGATCGCTGAAGGAGCCTCTCTGCCTCGATTGTTAGCCCTGCCAGAGATTGTCTGGAAGTGGTGTGGGATGCAGATTGGCTGATGGAGCTGCATTGCGGAATCGTTCCCACTGAAATCTCGACAGTGCATCTGCGATAATATTGTCGTGTGTTGTTATATATCTGGCCTTGAACAAAATGTTGTGTTTGAGGCACTGCAGCACTAGCTGCCTAATCAGTGACATGATTCTGGGTGCCTTTGAAGACTGTTTATTTATTATTGACACTACCGCTTGGTTATCACAAAAGAAAAGTACTTTCCTGTTAGCAAAGGCTGTCCCCCACAGACAAACTGACAGCACAATCGGAAACAACTCCAGCAGTGTCATGTCACGAGTCGAGCCGTCCTCCACCCACTCACGGGGCCAGAGCCCGTTTGCCCAGTTCCCGTTATAGTATGCGCCGAACCCCACAGTGCTGGCTGCGTCAGTAAACAGCTGCAGACATGTATTGTCAGCCCACTTTGTATTCTGAAAAACCGACACACCGTTAAATTCCCCCAAGAACCCGAGCCAAACCTCTAGGTCCTCCCGAACTCCCCGCGTGATGCGAACACGGTGTGCTTGATGACTTACCTTTGTATAGGCATCAATCAGTCTGCGGCAAAACGGTCTACCCATGGGTATTGCCCGGCACATGAAATTTAGCTTACCCACCAGAGATTGCAAAGCTTTACGGGTCACTTTGTGCTTACCTGAGGCCAGCATATCGTGTATGATTGCGTTGATATTTACAATCTTTTCCTGTGGTATTCTAACCTGCATCCTGACTGTGTCGATTTCAAGACCTAGGAATGTTCAGCAGGATGCAGGACCTACTGTCTTCTCATGTGCTACGGGTACGCCTAGCTCCTGGAAAGTACTGAGACATGTATCAAGGTTGTCACCACAGTCTTTCGTTCCTGCAGTTCCGCCTGTGAGAAAATCATCAAGGTAATGCATGAGTTGGCCGTTAGGCAACTTTTGCTGGACACACCATTGCAAAAAGGTGCTGAATTTTTCAAACACTGAGCATGATATGGAACACCCAAACGGCAAGCATTTATCAAAGTAGTATTTACCTTGAAAGCACAAGCCTAGCAACTCAAAGTCCTGAGGGTGTACCGGCATAATCCTGAAAGCCGATTTCACATCAAATTTTGCAAGTAGAGCATCTGGACCAAGTTGCTGTACCATACTGACAGCCTCGTCGAACCGTGCATATGACACGGAGCATGCTTCGCTGTCTATGTTGTCGTTGATTGATCTGCCTTGAGGATAAGAAAGGTGGTGTATTAAACGAAAATCGTCTGTCCCCAGCAAGGTTTGACTCTTACCCGTTTGCTTTTTGGGTACGAGACCGAGAGGTGAAACTTGTAGGTTCAGCAGGGGCGGCGTTTCAAAAGGACCTGCCACCCTACCTAATTTTACTTCCTTTTTCAATTTGGCAGCTACTAGGCGTGCCCCACTATATTCCAGTTGAAAACCTGATTCCAAACCTTGTAATAAATAAATGGCATGGGCATGGTTAGAATGCTTGTACAGTTGCAAATGTCGCTTTAATCTAGTGAGTATGAGTGGAGTTGGGGCCAGTGCCTTTGGGGCCTGTGTGGAGTTAAGTTGTTTGGAGGGTCTACGACCCCCCTTTGCGCGAAAGCAAGAATAGGCGGGATGTTGTTCGCCACAATTGGAGCATTTATGAATAAACTTGCATTCTGGCCTGGCGCACCTTGACCTGTTGTAGTCCCAGCATGCGTTGACTGTAAAGTCACGGCCCCTGCTGAAAGGCACTGTAAAGCGTTCAGTCTTATTTTCTTGAACACGGGACATAGTCGGTGTCATGTGCTTCAACCACAATTCACCGTCTATCTTGCCCCACTCCCGAATTGGGTCTCGTGCCATACGGTGTCGGAATTGCTGGTCGTAGTTTGACCAGCCAAAACCCCCGGAGCGGACTGCGGCATTACGGATTGTTTCCATGTATGCCAACATGCCCTGTATGGTGGACTGACAAAAATGTTTCACCACGTAAATGCTCATATATATGTGGAAAGCTGACGTCCATTGGCCTATGCTTAATGCCCTGGCGTTAGCCGGCTTGGCCGGCGAGAATCGCAGATTACCCGACGAATCCATCTGCATCTTAAATGCATCGTCATCGTCATCGTCATGCGACTGTGCGCCTGGCAACAATGTAGTCAACTCCACAAACTCCCCTCTCCATACTCTCTCCCGTACAACTTGACGGACGTGAGCGCTGATAGCATCCGCCTGGAAGGTCAGGGAATCCCCTGTTCCCTGATTGGTTGACCCCGTTCCTGACTCTGCACGTGGTGTGACGTCACGGGAAACTCCCGGCTCGCCCGAGTGTGCACTGCTAAATGACAACACATCGGGATTTCTTGACACCACCGACCCCGTTACCCCCAGATCATTGGTACTTACCCCTCGCATGCCAGTAAAGCTCCGAGAAGTATCTTGGGCCATCCGTTTGCCTAGCATATCCAGTATGCTGTTGAGTTGGCTCGATATAGCTAGCATCGACGGAACGGGCGACCCCACTTGTTGGGGCTCTTCGATGTCTCCGTGATCGAATCGCGGGAGAACGTTTGGATTGTCCGAATCATCTGCTTCAACTAGCAAGTTAGCAGCTATTTGTACACTTGGCAAGGGGGGTCCGTGCAATGGAGATCTAGCTGATCTCCGTGACTTACCAGTAGCCGATGTCGCTTGCCGGACACTTGGTTCCCTCCTGGCTATTTTCCCGCTCCTTACGAGGCGGTGATTTAAGGCGGCCCGTCTTTTTGGTGGCATTCTTAATGGTAATTGCAACGAACTATAGATGAATGCGCGAATATAACTATGTGTATTACGGCTGAAAGCTGGAGAGCAAGTGCTGCGTGAGCTGATGTCACGCTACAACAGGTCATAGAAAATATAAACAAACGCTCCTTTACCGGACGTGCCAAGAGCGGATCTAGGCCAGAGACGATGGCACCATGCAAAACGGCACGTAGCCGCACGGAATGAAGGTATTTCGCAGTAATAATATTAGCAACTGTGCCAAGCCTAACATAAAGGCATTTAGTTCTAATCACTAAATGCTATTATTCATGAATTGGGCAGGAATTATTAGATGTTATTCATGAATTGGGCAGGAATTATTAGATGTTGTTCATGAATTGGGCAGGAATAATTAGATGTTATTCATGGATCGGGCAGGAATTATTAGATGTTATTAATGAATTGGGCAGGAATAATAAGATGTTATTCATGAATTGGGCAGGAATAATTAGATGTTATTCATGAATTGGGCAGGAATAGTTAGATGTTATTCATGAATTGGGCAGGAATTATTAGATGTTATTAATGAATTGGGCAGGAATAGTTAGATGTTATTCATGAATTGGGCAGGAATAGTTAGATGTTATTAATGAATTGGGCAGGAATAATTAGATGTTATTCATGAATTAGGCAGGAATTATTAGATGTTCATGAATTGGGCAGGAATTATTAGATGTTATTCATGAATTGGGCAGGAATTATTAGATGTTATTAATAAATTGGGCAGGAATTATTATATGTTATTCATGAATTGGGCAGGAATAATTAGATGGTTTTTTTATGGCTGAATGTCATGTATTTATCAGTTATTACTGCAAACTTGAGTGAGTTGTTTGTTGACATGAAGTGAGTCCCTGGTATGAGTGTGGTGTGTGTTTGAATGTAGGCTGTCAGAGCTAGACTATAAGTGCATCACCTATTGGAGTCTCACACCCTACATATGGAACATTGCCAGATTGCATTGTGGGAAGTACACAAGCAACTTGAGTTATGTGGAACTATTCCTGAACACGATTCTGTGTTCAAGAACTTCATTCTTCCTACTGTTTTGATATAACACCATCAGTAATTTCAGTATGAGAAGAGGAATAATATGTTTTTTTAATATTGTTATTATAGATCAGAGTTGTGCCCAACTGATGATTACTTTTAACTTTTAAAACACCTGATTTCAACATGTGTACCTCTGCGTAGGGGCCTTCGTCAGATGATGTTGTAAACAGCTGTGCTTGTAAGTTGTATCGATGTTGCCAGGTTTGCAGTGCTGTAGCTGTACATGTACTTTGCTGAGTCTTTCACATAGAGTAAGCACCTGTTCTGAAGGCTTATGCTTAAACTTTGATTTGTTGTCAATAAGCAAGGTTTGTAAGTTTAACTGATGGTATTACACCGTTTTCTGGTTTTAGGGAACAACTCGCTTGTTACACACAGTGAAAGAAAACCTTTTGATTATTTCTTTGATATTGCGTGATTACTTAGGAATTAACATTTCAACACAGGTTAAGTTTTCTTTTTAGCTAACTTAAAATGAAAATCTGGACTTCCTTTTCACTATTTCATTTTGAAAATATTTAAAATCCATGAGACCAATGATACTGAGACTTTGAAGTGGTGATCCTAAATATAGTATATGCAGTAGTAAATAGGATAGTAGTGCGAATTAATGTTATGGCTCAATAGATAACATGCCCAATAAAAAGGAAGTTGTTTAATTATTAGTTATATAATTATTGTATTGAATGCAAAAAGAAAATACCTCAGAATTTTAGTAAAGAAAGATTTAAGCAGATATATAAAAAGTCAAGTTTACTTGTCAAGGGCACTAAGTTTGGAAATCTAAATAAATCCGTGAGAAATTAAAATTACTATTAATCCAGCAGTTGTGATGAAATACCATGCCAGACTTTAGTTTTAACATGTTTAAGTTTGTCTGTGGACAAGTGAAACTTTCTTCTCTGTTTGTCACTGATCCATGATCCAAGTGTCGAAAGAAAAAGGGCGTAGCTAGTTTTCAGTCATATGAACATGATGCCATTACAATATTTCATACTTCTTGGCATTTCCAGAGGTCCAAAAAGGGCTCTACCATGCCTTGTTCTTTTTATTGTTTGTGTATTTGAGAAGCCAGCTGATGTCGATTTGTCATTTGATACTAAAAGAATTGTTAAGATTGCTTTGTGAGATGAAGCAAAAAAATCATTTGAGATGTATTTTTTAATTAGATCTGAAGTTTCCACATTTTAAAACCAACATAATCACAACCACACCTGAGGAATATTGACATAGTATCTTCTGTACAACTTTCGTTATTTGGCGGTTGTTATAACTCGTAATGGTTCCTCTGAGATACTTTTTTCTGTCCAACTATATGCAGGAAAGTGCCAAATCAAACAGTCCTCCAGTTGGCATTGACAGTATTACTGAGTAGCTCCCATTGTGCACTCTTATATAACACAACATGGCTGTTACAGAATACACGCAGCCAGGCTATTGTCACGGCCATTTGCCGTAATTGAGGGAATTCCATGAGGAGACTGTGTTAGCGCGACTACTAGCCATGAGTTAGACCAATGATAACAGTCAGTCCTGACTGGCAGATTGAGTCACTGCGATCGGTCGCATTACCATAGCTGAACATTCGGACCTCGATGTGTTGATCCTCTGTGTCTGAATCTGACTTGGAGTTGTGGACGTAGAGTCGTGTTTTCCGTGGGATATTTGGTATGTTTCAGTGTTCAAAGGTAGGTAGGAACTCTGTGATAGCAAAGGCTTCACTTTTTGACAGTTGTGTTTACAGGGATTATAAGCAGCTTGAAAAGAAGTGTTTGTTTTAAATTATCAGCACTTTCTGGATTGATTTTTTGTGTGAAGTGAATTCTGTCATCCTTTTGCTATTAATTTGGAAACTTAGTTATAGTTGCTTGATGATGTTGACATTTGGGCTGATGATGGCCTGAAATGTCAGTATCCACATTGATGATATCCAACTCAAAGAAAGCTAATTAAGGACACCCTAATCTTTCCTGTTATTGTATTGAATCTTCATGCTATGACACATTAACTATAGTAATAGGAATGAATCAGTTTCACAATTATATGATGAGGCAAGCAGTATATTAGATGACTATCTTTTAAGTAGCATCTATATGTCAATATGTTGCTTAAAGATACCATATACAATCAGTCGTAGATATTTATATGAACATTTTGCTAACATGAATAGTCAACATATACTACTCAAAAGAAGTAAAGGCACACCTGATTTTTATATTTTACTATATAATCTGTTATGCAATGACTGATTTTTATCCCAGAATATGATGACTGCATTTAGAATTATAATGTAAATCTTTAGCTCACCTGACTGAAAGTGAGCTCATGTTGTGGACTGTTTGTTGGTTGTGCGTCCTGTGGTGTACACATCTTCTCCTCCACACCACCTGACCAATGAAGCTAGATCTTCACATGGCTACTGCCATCAATGTGATGGCTCCAAGTATGTTCCACAGCAGCCACATTGAAAAGTAAAATTATGGCCATTACTGAGTTGTATTGGTTTAAAATGTACTGCAAGTTGGTACTTGTTTAGTTTCCTCATTTTACAATATTTAAAATTTTGACCTTGTTTTGACCTTCAGAATATTGAAAAACAAGAACAAAATCCAAAGTTTGAAAATAAAAATATTTTTTTCCAAGTTTGCCTTGTGAAGGGCTCCTAACTAGAATCCTATATGAATCCCAGACTTGAATGATGGAGCAGATAGACTGAAAACAGAAGCATTTCTGGAATTATTCCATTAAGTACCGAAGAAAATGAGAACAAATGTGACACATCAAGACTTGACATCAACAAAGACGAACAGAACAAAAGACCTAAAAAACACAAGCTGTTAAAATAATTGCTCTGTCAATGTTTATGTATATCAAATAAACAATAAGTTCTTAGGAAAATACAATTACAGTTCAATTTATTTATATTCAAAATTAAGATTTTGTTTGTCCTAGATTTGATGTCTTATGATGTTGAAAGTGTTTTCTCACTTTTACCAAACCATCATTCTTCAGAAGTAAACACTTTCAACATTGTAAGACATCTAATCAAAGGAAAACAGTTGTTTGGAAGGTAGTTTATAAAGATTGGGAAGGAGCAAGTGCGTATAATTATTGCACCTGTTGGGCTGTGTGAGTGATGGTTGTGTGGTCCAGGAACTGGTCCAGGTAATATCTTCCTAGTGACTGCTTCTGTCATGTAAGCAATCAGGATCAGCTGTTGCACTACAAGGAATGATGATAGCTGACGTTACTGTGTAGCTTTCAGTACTGTGTTATTGCATTCTAAACCAAGCGTTTGATTGAGGGGTGTTGTGTTACTGCAGCAATGTCTAGTGCCATTATCTACTTGCTGGTGAAGCCTTGTTATTCTAATCTATTGTTAGATAATGAGGTCCATCAGCCTCGTGATATAACTGTAACAATTTAAATGGGGCACAGGTGGCCAAGTCAGTGAGGGCATCGTAATTTGCTATGCAGAGTTGTGCCCCTTTGATGTGCCAGAAACCGATTATTGTGAGTTTGAATTCCAGATTTGCCCTGATTGTTTCAAGATTTGTCAGCCAAAACCTGTGCTCAAGGGTTGTTAGAAATTGAAATTATTCAAACCAATAAAGTTGTTAAAATGTTACTTGTTAAAAATGTCGTTTCTGTCTATATTCCCTATTAACTGACACGTCATGATATACAAGAAAAGATATTAGACAAAACTCACTTCCTCACTATAATCATTTGGGAGATAATCCATGAGACATTGTGGCTAGCCATACTATATTTAGTATGAATTACTTTAAAAAACACAGGACCTGTTAAGATCCGGGGTAGAAAAGGTCTTCAGCAACCCATGCTTGCCGTAAAAGGCAACTATGCTTGTCGTAAGAGGTGACTAACGGGATCGGGTGGCCAGCTTCGCTGACTTGGTTGATGCATGTCATCATAT